CCTGGTCCCTGTTGTGTATTGTTCCGCTCACCAACTTCCAAACCTCACGGCGTTGTCTAGCAAGTGGTAGGATTGAAAACAAAATTTCTCAACGTAAATTGTATTTCGGAAACCCAATTGACAACGTGGTGACATCATCCACGGCAACCAAAGAAAAGGAGTCGGTGGCGCTTCCAACCCCATTCTCCTCCCCGCCACCACCACTCAACTTGCTTTGCTGAAAGGCCACAACGCCAATGTCATCTCCACTTTGTAGCTGACAGCGTCGACCTTTTCCTACCTTCGTGTCATTCACGTACGTTCCATTGCTGCTGTGGTCCTCAAGATAGATTCTCACCTCTGAGGCACGTTGGCGTGGCAGCCGTGAGTGATGATGCGCGTCATCATGCTGCTCTTGAAAAGAAAAGGGATTGTCCTGCAAACCCAGTAAGGGTTGCCCCATTGTTATTGTAGTACCTGAGGGCATGTGTGGTCGGGTTGCCCGGCTCGGATGACGATACGGACCTCGCCCGCCAGGTGACGGCACGCTCACCTCGACGGAAAGGGTAATGGTAAAGTGAACCGCACTGATTCGGGGGTCATCCAGGACAACGTCACACCTTGGAGATCTCCCACACGTGATTTGCCGTCTTTCTGAGAGAAACAATACGCGGTGCTTATCAGAAAGAAGAAACCCCCAAGGTCTCTCTGTTGTCATGGCGGGATTTTCAGAGGAGACCTCAACTAAGGTGCTCTGCGTGTTGGAGAGAGGATCCCGCCTCGCGTTATCTTCAACACCTCGAAGATTCATGTTTCACGTTCGTTACTGATATGTACTAACCGTTATTATTATTATTATTATTATTATTATTATATGTATGTATGTATGTATGTATATGTATATCAGTATGTGAGTGTGAGTGTGCTCGCCTTTCGGCTTCCCCAACCTGTGAATTGTTATTCGCGTGTGTTAATATGATGTATGGGTGTAACCGGGACTGTTCCTAACAGCACCTCTTTTTCCCGATACGTGGCAACTTCCATTATTGAGCCAGTAGAACCACATAACAATGGGAAAACAACAGATGCGCAAAAAACAAAAAACAAAAAAAACAAAAACAAAAGCAAAACAAAAACAAGAAAAAGTGGTAAGACCATTAGGAGAACGCATAAAAAGTCAGACAAGATGTTTTGGATAAAAACAGAGATATTTATTCTGTATATACATATATAACATATATATATATATATATACCCCCAGAAATGAAAAGCCAAACTTACCCATATGTGTTTTTCACCACTGTCCAAATTCCTTTTTTCCTTCATCATCTCATATTTTTCTAAACGCATGATACGCGGGCTCCTGTGCATAGTGGCGCTCCACCTCCCGTAATTCTTCTTCTTTAATCTCAAGCGGCAGCATACCACGCTCTGCCCACTGCTGCTCCCGAAACTCGGCATCTGCGTCATACTTTTCCCGCAGCTCTGGGTCATTGCAGAGATCAAAGATGAGCTGCTGCCGGGCGAGGGCCTTTTTCTGCAACGCTACATACGCCTCCCACGCCTCGCCCTCCACCCCTGTCAATGGCGCAGCCTCGCGTATCTCGCCATGCCGCTCCTCCAACTCCCGCGCACAAAGCGCTGTCAGATCCTCTACACGATATGCGTCGACAAACGGAAAAGAAGGGTCTGCGTTGGCGCCAAATTCCAACACATCTGTGGGACGAACAATTGGCGGATACTCCGCTTGCTGCGAGGAAAGCTGCGGCACATCCAGGCCGTATCCTGGCTCATACCCGGGAACGGGAGGTGTCAACGAGGGGCGGCGGTAGTTGCCAGGGGGCTGCTCAGACGAAAGCAGCAGCGCCTCCTCACGCGCCTGCTCCATGCCAAGCTCCGCCATCGCCTCCAGAGCCTCCGTCATGCGGGCGGCAAGACGGGACATGCGAGCCGCAAATTTTTTCTCACCGATGGCACAGTAGCGGTCGAACGCAAGCGCAATACGGCGCTCGTTGTCCACATCGTGCTGCCGCTTTCGACTGTCATTGCAGTGCCTCTTTTCGTGCAGATACTCCATCGCCGCCTGTGCCCACTTCTCTTCACTTCCCACCTTCCCCGCGCTTGCCATGTACCCTGCCGCAGTCTGCTTCTTCTGCAGAAGGGCAAAGCGATGGCCACCCCAACGACAGGCCATCACCTTCGAAGAAAAAACTCCTTTTTTTCTTCTTATTCTCTTGGTTCAGCCCCCGTCCCCTCTGTTCCCTGCAGGCTCTGCCCCTTCACGCACAGCCGCGGGATAAACGGATGTCGGACGGACTGACGGTTCGCCCGACCGTTACGCACACAACCCGCACAAAGCGTGCAGAACTAAAAAACAAGACAACAACAACAAAAAACACGCAATAAATCAAACGTTGCATATGTGGGTAAAATAAAGAATGGGAATAAGCAGAAAAAAAAATGAAGAAAACCATGGAATGAGAGCTACCCAACACAACACCACCCCAGCACATATCTACCCACCCATCACACGCACCGCATCGCCCAAACACCCAAGGGCCTACAGACACACACACACACACACACACAAACACATACAAAAAGGAAGAAAAAAGAGATAAACATAAGAAGCCAGAGAATTCGCAATCCAAAGGGTTTCTTCAGATGGACGTCGTGTGTTCCCTAACGACAACAACAAGAGAGTGAGAGAGAGAGAGATAGAGAAAAAAAACAAAAAAAAAAACGCATGAGCGGAAAGAGAGGGAAATTCCATTTTCTCTCGTGTCAGTGCCACTTTCCACTCAGTTGCTTTTTATTCCACAGTTTGTGCCAGAACGCAGGCATAAAGAAAATATCAGAGGCGGTACTTGCCCCCCACGTTGACGTGCAGCACACATAGACGGACCGAGCGACCCACACACTGAGTGAGAGAAAAAGAGAGAGGGAGGGAGAAAGAGAGGGGGCGAATCAAAACAACAACAACAACAACAAGGGGTCTCATCAATGCGCCGTCAAATAACATCTATGCAATCCCGTTATAGAAAGACAAAAAGACAAAAACAAAAACAAAAACAATAAGAAGGAAGAAACAAAACGCATTTATTTCCTGGAAAACGCACATACACCTTCTTTTCTTTTCTTTTCTTTTTTGTTTTTCCTGCATTCATCCAAACCGCCCTTCTTCCTTCTATCGTTTATCAACACCCTCCCGTATATGTCTACATATATATATATATATATATATATATGCATATTACATCTACACCCACTCCCTCGCTCTTCCCTTCGCATTTCCTTTTTCTCCTCTGTCATCCCTTTTCCATTTCCTCCTTCGTGTTATTTGCCCGTTTCCTGAAGCCAAATATATATATATATATATATATATATTCTTCTTCAAGAGCTATCTACTCGTTATAGGTTTCTCCCGTCCTCATTTATTCTCTTTTTAAAAAATTCCCTTTCCCTCCCATTCGCTTCCGTTTTGGCTCCTGCTTCGGTACGCTTCTTGGGTTTTCTATGAATGGAAGCTAAGACGCCTCCAACATCTCGTCAAACCGGCCATTGTCTACATCCTCCACGTTGTCTCGTTCAATCGTCCTTTGAGCCGAGCGCCCCTCGCCGGTGACATCCATAGACGGAAGGGCTGAGCCACCCTGCTGCTGCTGCTGTTGTTGTTGCTGGTGCTGTAACTGCCGATGACGCGGTGCGGTCTTGGGGTACTTTTCATGGAACATCACACTTTCCTCGTACACCGCCTTCTTCACGTCATGCACCGTTTTTTGTTCCTGTTCGTCGAAGCTGAAAAGGGGTATGTTGATGGTTTCGTATTGCTCGTCGTAGAGTTCCGCCAGGAACGGGTGCCGAAGAGCCTCATCCACGGTGATGCGTTTATCGGGGTGAAAGACGAGCATGCGCTTCAGCAGATCGAGCGCCTCCTCAGACGCCTTCGGGTACTTCGCGCGCCAGTCTAGTGGGGGACGAGTCTCCTTCTTGCGGAGGTACTTCTGTGCCGGCAGTGAGCCGAGGGATTTTATATCCTCCTCGGACGGAGTGCCAATCACCTCAATGATCTTGTCGAGTTGTCGCACACGGTCCTTGCCTTGGAATAGCGGTCGTGAACCAAGCAGCTCGCCAAGAATACTCCCTACGCCCCAGACGTCAATTTGTGCGGAGTAGTTCTTGTCCTCCATCACAAGCTCCGGTGCTCGGTACCAGCGCATTGTCACGTAGTCAGTCATGTTCTCTCCACGGTCATTTTCCTCCTTTGCGAGACCAAAGTCACATATTTTCAAATCACAATTCTGGTTCACTAGAATGTTCGCTGGGGTGATGTCGCGGTGAATAACCCCAGCGGTATGAATCACCTTCAATGCATGGAGGATTTGATAAATGAAGAACTGAACATGAGCCTCCGTCAGCTCTTGGCCAGTGCGTAGCACTTGCTTCAGATCTGTCTCCATGATCTCCATGACAATATAGAAGTGATCAAAATCTTCACTGTCAAGCGGTGTGAGAATGTTTCGAAGAGCAATAATATTCTCATCGTTAAAAAATGAAAGTAACTTAATCTCACGCAACACACGCTTCGCCAAAATCATCTCCTCAAATATTTCCTTGTTTACACGCTTGAGGGCTACAAGTTCGTTGTCATTGAGTGTGTCCCTGGCACGTATTACTATTCCATACGAACCGGCACCAATAATTTTCTCCAATACGTAGCGACTATCCAATGAGTTTACCTCCTCCTGCAGTTCGGACAAACTCCGGATTTGATGACTCATGTTGAGTGCAGTTAACACTATGGCTTCACCCAAATACACACACAGACACACAGACACAAAAAGTAGTCTATATATAAGTGAGTAAGGAAATAACAAATAATAGTAATAAAAAAAAGACCGCACTTCCGTTCGGTTAAATTTCCCTTTTTTTTTTTTTTTCTTCTTCTTCTTTTTTCTTATGCCCTTCACCTGCTTGATGGGGTTGTGGCGGTCCTGTCTTCTCTCCCTCTCTGGTGTGTGCGGGTGTCTCCTTGCTCCTTCCCCCCCCTCCTCCTCTCACTTCCCTTCAAAACTCAAAGGCCCTGCACCGCACCGCACCGCACCGCCCACACACACACACACCACCGACGGGAGGCGCAGGAAAAAAAAAAAAAAAAAAAAAAACAGCAATAAAAAAGAAAAAGAGGAAAAGACATGCACTCAAAAGACGACTCCCCTCTCCCAAGAAAGAAGAAAAAATTTACAAGCAGTTGATTGATCCTCCACACCCTCATCTTCTCCAGCGGGCAAAAACAGGGAAGTGCGATGGAGAGGAGGATGAATAGTTGCAGCGCCTCCCCGCAACACAAAAATGCCGGCAATCGCCGGGGAGAATAAATAAAAAAACGCACCACCACCAAAAAAAAATAAATAAATAAAAAAAAAGAGGGCGCATGGAAGAGAAAACACCCACACACAACCACCACTGCCGCTCAAAAGAGTATAAAACAAACGGGGAGTGGGTTTATGACATTTCAACGGGTACATTTTCCCCACCACCTCTTCTGGCACAAAACAACAACAACAACAACAAAACGGCGTCAATATTTTATTTTTATTTATATATTTTTTTATCTCTTTCCCTTTCCTCCTCCCCCAACCACTAACAACAACAACAAAAAATCTCACTGCTTGCTCCTTTACAAAATGTTTGTATAGACTCTTGCCTATATTACGTCTTCATTTTCCCGCACACACGCACATGTTCCCCAAATATATATATATAAACAGTAAAAAAAAAAAATACCGTATCGTAGCCTCCTTTATGAAAGATCCTCGGGTCTTCAGCCGTTGTGAATGTGTCTATATATATATGTCTTTTATTCGTTGTCACTTCCCTTCGTTTTTTTCTCCCCCCCCCCTCTCATGCGCTATTAAAAAATGGGGAAAATCAATCCGATTCACTCGTACTGGGTGTCGCCACGGGAGCTCTACGGGGCGGTTTGGTCTGCCGACGACTCAGCGGCTTCTCTACACCAGTGAGGGGCACAGTGGCTGCATCGGGTGCAGGAGCCTGCTTCTCCTGCCTTCTTTTTTTCTTTGCGTAAGACGTCGACAGTGGGACATTGTCATCATCGGACTGATCAGGAATGGAGGAGGCCGCCGTGGCTGCATGTCCCTTCGGCGACTTGTAAACGACATCGCGGGACGATGTCGGCGAGCCGTTCCGATGCGCAGCAACTGCAGGGGGGACTGTGGTCGCAGCGACGTCAAAAGTTTGATTGTTGCCAAATGTGCGGTAAAGCGGGACATCATCGCTTTTGTCGCTCTTATCATCCCGCGGGGCTTCTTTCCTGTCCTCCTTCGGCTGCGGCGCGGCAGTCGGAACCTCCGCCTCTGCCGGGGCCTCGTTCTTGCGCTTCCGCCCTTGCCGTTTCTTTGCCGCGTCAGCGTGGGACTCTCCCGCCGCCTCTTCCGCCTTGCCGTTCTCCTCAGCATGCTTGCCATTCCCTACCGTTGTTTTTGTTTTTGGCCCTATTGCTGCTGCTGCTGCCTGCACTTCTTTTGGCTGCTGCTTTGAATCCTGCTGCCGTCGGTGTTGCTGCGGGAGCGGACTGTCGGAGGTCTCCTGGACAGTCTTCTGCTCCTTCACAAGAACAAGTCGGTAGTGGCTGCCTGGCGTGACAATGACATTTCCCTCCGCATCGAAGGGCAACAGCAGATGACCGCTCGACGACTCCTGCAGTGCCAGCGAGCTGCCGTGCTCCCTGCATCCAAAGGCATAACTCGGGTTGAATGTATTCTGCAGCTCTGAGGCAAGACGAATCGTCAAGCCATCAATGACGATGGTGGGCATCCAACTCCAGCAAGTCCTGTAATTTGTGTTCCTGCATGCATGCGCCATCGCAGAATGAGAAAACAAGGCAACAGGAAAGAAAAAGAATAAAAAAAACAACAACAACAAGCAGGCAAACAAAAGAGTTTTTTTAAACAATTTTTTTTTAATATTTCAAACAAATCCAACGGTCTGCACATGCCCTTCAGACTTCATGGTGTCAAAACTGTTTCCCGGCACGATGCGGCTGCTCCGGGCGCTGGTCGAATGCCGTCAGCCCCGTGGCCACAACAACAATTCTGTGAGAGAAACATGGCTGGCTCTTGGCTTCCCCCCCACAATACGGGGCAAGTGGCCCTGACAACACACTGAGGCGGCCCACGGCATTGCCAGGGGAGGATAAAACAAGTGGATTCCAACACGCAAAAAAAAGGCAAAGACACACATAAAACACATCACACCGCCGTTACTTCACCGCCAACAGTACGACCACCCTTTACGAGGCGGACGCGCATTGTTGCCCTCGCGGCGTGCTCACTCTGTTGCGTGCCACAGACGTCGCCACTGCTCCTATCATGTTGCAGGAACCAATCCGCATTACAAAGGGGCTCCACGAAGAGGCGAACATCAGCCGCCGCCGCCAGCCACACAGGAACACCCAATGGCTTTGACGGCAGTGTCCTTTCCGTTGCTAATTTTCTGTGGTACACGCTTGTACACCCATTTACAAAAACCACTGCCACACTTCCCCCACGGCAATCAACAGAAATCTCCTGGCCACTGACACTCGCGTCATGCGCATGATGATGACGCTCACGCTTTTCCACTTCGCCGCTTCCCACATCCCTCCAACCATTACCAATCAGAATGGCGTTGCGCACTTCTCGTACAAGCGCAGCCGCCATCCAATGACGTGCATGATTTGTCGCCCCACACGTGGGATGTTCCCAGAGACGCGCCACGTTATCCACCACAACCAGCACGCGACGTCGGTTTGCATGATGACACGATTCGAAGTACTCCACACGGCTAAGAAAGCGAAAAAACACCAGCAAATCATTTGGTGATTTGAAAGGTACAAATTTTATTTTCTTCAGCATCACTGACGGGAGGCTATCCGCGTCGCCATCGCACTGCACGCTGTTTGCCGTTGCCGACGCAAGGGCCTTCTTTAGAAGCTCATGAATATGCTGCGGGCTGACGGACGATGGGTCCGAAACAAGAAGAAAGACAGACCAGTCACACGGCCCACATTTTGACTCCTCCACCTCCTCATGGGGCTGCTGCTGCTGCTGCTGCTGCTGGCGGTCGACACTATTGCCTCCCACCGCCGTTCTGCTCCTTTTCGCCGCCGTCCACTGCACGCTTCCCCGCGCCGCGAAGGCTGCCACCATTTGCTGCACGAGATGCGACTTGCCTGCGGCGGGCGGGCCAAATATCTCTAACACCGTTCCGCACGCCACACCGCCGTCTGGTAGCAGTCGGTCGATCGCCGCGCTGCCGGTGGAGAAGACAGCCTCTCGACTGAAACATCGCCCAACCTCCAAAACGGAGGACGCCGACGCGGCAAGTGCGGCAAGCCGCCGCGAAACATCTTCCGCCGTCAGCGCTTCCCAGGGAGGAGGCATGACGGCCATCCAAACGATTTTCCCCTGCTTCCCTTGTCTGTCGTTTTTTGCCTTTCTCCCCGCAGAGAGCAAAGAAAAAAAAAAAATACGCGGCAAGGAGGAAGACAACAGTCTTCCCTTTCCGTTTGTCTACAACGGGATTCCGCAAAAAAAAAAAAAAAAAAAAAAAAAAAGAAACACCAAAATCCCTTCCCCTTCTCCCCTTTCCTCTGTGACTTGTCTGTGCTGCGGCAAAAACAACAACGGGAATAAAAAAAAAAAAAAACACACTCAATGAGAGGGATGCACGCATCATCGTTCCCCTCTCCATTTCATCATAAATCACGAGGAAAACGGTGACGCTACCAAAGGAAGCACTTCACCGAAAAAGGAAAGAAAAATATGAGGGCGCCAACGCACGCGCAGGACGGCAGCAGCCAATGCGCGGACCAAAATGGGTCATAAACCCATTTTGTCTCTTGACTACAATTCATGAGGCCCCACTTCTTTTTCGTTAATGATTACGTTTTCCATCATATTTCTTTGCGCCCGTCGCTGCAGCCCGACGAGCTGCAGGAGTGCACGCATCAGAGCAAATGACATCACGGCAGGAAATGGCCAAGCCTGAAACCACACGTCCCAGTCCAGTTGCGTAAAAACAGCGCCCGAGAGGATGGCTGTGAGCAGCAAAAGTGTTTCCATCATCCGAAACCGATTCCCTTCCCTTTTTTTAAAAAAATTTTCCAACGCGGATGTTCCATTTACATCGGCCAGTAGCGTCTGGCGTATATCCTTCAATTCCATCGGCATCGTCAAGCTCAGCAAGAGTCCGAAAGCGAATGTTAACACCGCCGTGTGGGCCTCTGCAACGGGAGCGCCACAGAGAACAAACACAAGGCTCCACAACAACGCCTCACGCAGTGGGAGAAGGAGGCCGCTTGCCATCGAAAAGCGCTGAATGCCTCCGCCCCCTCTACGACCACAACCGGACACGCAAAAAACAAAAAACAAAAAACAAAAACACGCTTCTAAACAAAACTCAAAAAAAAAAAAAAAAAAAAGCAAAAAAGAACAGATGGGCAATAAAAAGGGCAAAAGAAATGTGCGAGGAGAGCCACACCGCCCTGGCGCAGGCCGAGGGAAAAGACACCCCACCCAAACAATGAGGAGAGGGAGAAAAAGAGAGAAAAAAAGAAACAACGGCGGAAGAACAGTAAAGTGACATGGCGAGTTAAGGTCCCACGTAGCAGAAATCGTAGTTCCAAAACAAAAAAAAAACAAAAAAACAACGACAGAGAAGTGACGTGCATCGGGAAACCCAACAGCCCCAATGGGTCAAATTGCCTTACAAATATTCGACCAGCCATCCCAAATGAAGAGAACAGCAGCGGAGAAACATAAAAACAAGAAAAAAAAAAGGAAAGGCCACAACGATATCGAGCCTTCAACGAGCACATTGTACACATAAAGCCTTCCTATTTCACTTCCTTTCCTCCTCATTTTTGTTGTGTTTGCGTTTCTTTGATCTTTTGCCCAGAACCACCAAAATGGGGGGATGCACGCTTTTCGAGAAACACCGGATGTGTCGCGAACAGCCGATTGACAAGCGCCATGCGCCGCATTTCGCGCAATTTATTTGCGCCCTCCTGCGCCAGGAAGCGCTGCTGCTCCTCCACGCTCCACCGCTCCATCGCCGAGAACTGCTCCTTCACCAGCCGCACAAAATACGCGCGAAAGTTGTAGTCCGGAAATGCCCGCGCGGCGCAGAGCATCTTCGTGCGCAGACGTGCCATGGAGTGTTGGGTTGCGGCCGACATATCAACTCTCCAGACCTTCCGCCTGCTTCAATTCCTCACACTCGTTCACTGCTCTCACTCTGTTCGTGCCCACAAGCAACACCCAAACCAACAAAGAACAAAACAAAACAAAACAAAAGAGAGAGAGAGAGAGAAGGGAAGAGTCAAACAAACAAACAAAAAATATATATTTCTTGATAAACTCAAGAAAAAAAAAAGAACACACAAACACAAATGGAGGGGGAAGCGTTACATTCATGCAATAAAAATGTAAGCGTCAAGTTTTAACAAATTACAAATCATCGCAAGGACAGTTCCCATGCCGTCTGCCAACACTCCATCCCTCAACAACGAACAAAAAAAGCAAAGCAATCACTACACAAGTGACACGTGGACAAGTGACCGTTTCACCCAGTCAAGCTCGCCCATACACATTTCGTTTCCTTTTGTCCTGCTTGAAAAAACATACGTGACCGTTTAGATGATGCGGTCTGCAAATTCGGCATTGCCGGATCCAATCAGCGCCTTCCCACTGGCCCAACGCGCCACAACGCCCATAACAGCAAAGAAGAGAATAAACATGAGAGACAAGCCCAACAAAAGAGCAAAAACATCCACCCCTTTCATCGTGTGCAGGAATACACTATTCCTGCACGTCCTACTCACCAGACAAAACGTGCCTGTTCCTAAATAAATATATATATATATAACAAATAATTCAACCCCTTTCCGTAATACCTTTTTCCCTATGGCCTAGAGGACCGCAATCAAACCCCTGCGGACACACACACACGCAATGAAAAAGAAAAGCAGAAAGAAAAATCATAACTAACATGCACGATGAAAAAAACAAAAACAAAAGGATCCCCCCCTCCCCCCCCCCCCCCCAAAAAAAAAAAAAAAAAAAAGAGAAGGAGATAACGGCATCACATGGTGACACTTGGAGTGGATACAACATTAATAAACAGGCTGGATGTCGTCGAAAAAGGCCCGGCCTCACACACACACAAAAAACAAAAAAAAAAAAGGGACACTTCTTCCCTTTCCCCCTCATTCATCCAGAGTCTTTGTTTTTAAACGCAGAAGTATTAACAAAGTGCATGGCATATCAAAATTTTTCTTCCCTTTACTTTTTTCCTTCTCTCTCTCTCTTTCCTTCTTTCATTACCTCTCGGCGATGAGTGTTGTGTGCGCATGGCCCTTCATGTGAGCCCTGCCTCGTTACGGAGGTACTCACCCACATCTGCCTCATGAAACAACACGGTGCTGTTCATTTCGCACTTCCTGCACTCCAGTGTTCCAAGCGCGGCCACACCGAACCCCAACGGCACATCCCCCATGGAGAAAACTGCCACCTTCTGATATTTTGGCGTCGATTCGGTGATGCGACCAAGACCGGCGCGTGTGACGTGACCGCCGTAAAGAAACTTCTGCTCCTGGTTCGGCTTCACCCAAACCTTAAAGAGGGAGTACTGTGCGATGTAATCCAGCGCCGTTACTTGAATGCGGATGTGTCCGTTGTGTGTCACCTTCGCAAAAAGGACACCAATACCCATCAGATTCGACTTGGCCACGCAACTGGCAAGTTTGGCAAGGCGCAGCGGCATGTACCATATGCGGTTCTTGTGCAGCCGAAACACATGTTCCTCTTCCTCGCCCTTGCGCTCTAGCAGGTGCGTTGTATTGGGCCCAATGTACTGCGCTAGTTTGTCGAACAGCCTCTTCGTCTCCTCCTCCGTTAGTGACCGCATTGTAAACCACCTCTTCCTACACGCGTATGTGTACATGTATGTGCGTGCGTCAAGGTGGCGGGCATGCATGGTCACAAACAACAACAACAACAACAACAACGCATGGAACAGCAAAGAGTCAATGCATCCTCACCAAAAAGTCCCCCAGCACCACGCAGAAGACAACAACAACAACAACAGGGGATGCATGCATAAGCACAAAGAAACACGCACACACACACACAAAAAAAAAAAAAAACAAAGGAAAAAAAGGGAAAAAAAGGCGAGAAGAAGCGGGTAAAGAACCCGGTACAATAACTACTCACGCGCGGCAAGAAATATACACGACAAGAAACAAAGCAACAAAGCAAAACATACACGGAGGAAAATAGAATAAATTAAAACTATCAAATAAATGTATGGCACATTTCACATTACCCAACAACCACCTTGTTTTTCACGTGCCTTCTTTAACTCTGCAACGCTTCTCTTTACGTCTATTTGTGTTTGCTGCACATTGAAGTCAATTCGATCCAAAATGCTTCCCTGCTCCACCACCATTGCGCCCAATTCCTTAAACATTTCATGCAACTCCGTAACACTTTTCAATATTTCTTGAACCTCGCGACTAAGCTCCTTTTGTTTCGCGTCTTCTTCAAGAAGTTCCTGGATATCAACCTGCGTATATCCAAGCTCAAGATATTGAGCAATCCTTTCTTCCCGCTCCATTCGTTTATGCGCCTCGCATGAACCAATCTGCTTGTATCGCTGTGTCTTCTCTTCACATCGCCGTAGCCGTGTGGCGTACAGCTCTTGTCCTTCGCGAAAAGACTGAATAATCATTGATAGGCGAGAGGAGAGGTGTTTCTTGGCGTTTTCCGAGGCCCTCACCTCGTCCTCATTGGTGGGGTCCTGTGGACGCATGCCGGAGATGATCATGCGTTCAAGTTCCCGAAGCAGCTTCTGAATGCCGTGCGCGTTCTCCTCGATCTGTTGCCGCTGCGCCTCCTCCTCCTCATCGGAGAGAAACTTCGGTTGGAGAAACGCCCGCTGCTGCTCGTGCAGCCGCTCAATCTTGAGGTTGATCGTGTTTTCCAGCTCCAGAAAGTGCTCCAACGCGCGAATCCACGGAGACATCGCGTGGCCATGCATCCCCTTTTCGCTGTTGCCGTTTAGTGTGGCCTCTGCGGGCGACACCGGTGCCGCCTCGTTGCCCTTCCACCTCGACTCACCCAACCACTCCGCCTGGTGCTGCGCTGCCCGCCGCAGGGATGAAAACTCCTGCAGCCTATCTCTACTGAACAGACGCGGGGATAAACTCATCGCACTCTCTCTAATCGCATCGACCTCCCCTCCCCCTCCCCCTCTCTCTCTCCTTCTCTTCAAAACAAAAAAATACGGGGCCCGCAAACACACACACACACAACTTACATATCACGTGCAAAAAAACAAACAAACAAACCCAAAGCAACAATTAAAAAAAGAAACACAACCCCGAACATTCTCCTTCGGCTCGATTCAACAGATGGAGAGACAGGATACCCAAGGTGATATATAAATTTAAATATATGTATATATGCGTACCAGTCACATGCGAGGGGGGTGGGGTGGGCAAAGAAAAGACGGCACATCCC